GTGCATTAACGTGGTACACCACGTATTTATTGTGTAAAAAAATGATGAAATATACTCACAAACCAATGGAAATAAAAAACAGGTTGAGTGGTCCGCAAAAACAGTCAATGCAATATTGTGTCCTTAATCAGGATAAACTGACGCGTTTCGGGAGACAAGCCCCCTTCCTCAGCTGTACGGTGCCTCCTCACTAAGTGTCCTCTGAAAGGTGATCCGAGTGTGGATTGGCTTCAAGAGGAGCAGCAGTCCCTGCCACACATGTCAATGAGCCCTAATGGTCAATGACAATGGTCACAGGGCAAATAGAAAAGTGAATATCTCCAGTGGGTACACAGATGAACCCCTCGCTGCTTCAACCAAAATTAAAAGATACAATATAAGCTGTCCACATACTGCCCCGAACTACATCTCTGACCTAATATCCAATTACCACCCAGCACGCACACTCCGCTCCTCACAAGACCTCCTTCTCTCTAGTTCCCTGGACTCCTCCTCCCATGCCCGCCTCCAGGACTTCTCCAGGGTGTCACCCATACTCTGGAACTCCCTGCCCCAACCCATCAGATTATCATCTACTCTCCTCTCCTTTAGGTGCACCCTGAAAACCCATCTCTTCAGGGAAGCCTACCCCACCCCCTGCTAACTTGCCGACCTCCTCCACTCTTCCTACCACTCCATCCCCCACAGCTATCTCCTCCTGTGCCACCATCCCCTCCCTCCTAGATTGTAAGCTCGAAAGAGCAGGGCCCTCGATCCCCTCATGTTTTGCATTGTATTAGTATTGTTCTGTCACATGTTCTGTCCCCCTTTGTAATGTACAGCGCTGAGCGAACTATTGGCGCTTTATAAATACTGTATAATAATAATAATATACAGTAAAGGCACAGTTGTCCTTAATGTTCTAGGAATGATTCACAAAAAAAATACTTTTTTTTTTTTTTTTTTTTTACTTTGTACCAGTGAACCCAGGCAGGGCAGCTTTCCACATCCCAGTAGCTCCGTCTCTGCTTTCCTCCCTGACTACTGGAATTTGATAACCTTTTTTATGAAAAATATAGACTCTTTTTATTTCTGCAAGATTTTTACATCAGCCCAATTTTCTCTTCGAAGGAACAACAAAGATGTAGATGTCTTTGATCTCTTGCGGATGCATTAGCCGGTATAAAGCTAAATAGCACCTGCCTCTTACCATCACTTAGAGTTCATTTAACCTCCACATTTCATGGGTTGATCCTAATAAGCTCTAATTCTCGGATTGCAGCGTGGGAGTGTTTATAGAATTCCTTTTTATAGTCTTTTCATAAATGCTGCATGCAAGATCTAAGCAGTCCCTGAAAATGTCAAAACGTTAATTGCTGTAATCCTGCCTGGAACAAAGACGATTATTGGTCTGTTAGGAAGGGTCTGTTTCATCTTGACTTAGAAGAACAAAAATTATTTTACCCTGAATATTAAAAGCCTTTTCAGAGCCTCTTTTTTGTGCTTTTGCATACAAGGGAGCACAGACTACTGCGCACAGGTGCTACGAGGGACTTGCAGTAAGTGCCAGAGAGACGTAGGTTGGGCACCAGGGCCAAAAAATGTGTTTAGTGGTTTTAGTAGCTTGCTGTTATCACCCTAACTGGACATAAAGATTTTTCTAATCTTTTTATTTTTAAAGCAAAGCCTTTGGCAGTAAAGGGATAAGGGCTTGTTCTTACACCCAGCAGCCCTTGCTGCTCCTCTAAAAAGCAATTCAATGTAGATCACTTTTTAGAGGTATTTGACAGGCAATGAGGAGGCAATGGAGTTGATTTACTAAAACTGGAGAGTGAAAAACCTGGTGCATGGTAGCCAATCAGCTTCTAACTTCAATTAAGCTTTGACAAAAAATAACCTGGAAGCTGATTGGTTTCTATGCAGAATTGCACCAGATTTTACACTCTCCAGTTTAAGTAAATGACCCCTTTGTGTCATTTCCTCACTGCCTGTTTAAACCCTGGAAATGCCAACCCACCCTGTCAGAAACTGTATCATTCCCATGGCTGTTTTCCTTTAAGCCCACACTGGTTCACAGTGGTGCATCTTTTCATGTGATTTGACAATTTCAAATTGCATGACAAGTCACACATTATTGTCAGCAATGGAGCCGTTCAAATTGATGCTCAACTTTGCGATTCCGCACCGATTTGAAAAAAAGGTTCCTGTGCTACCTTTTGCAATTTCTGGTGCGACTTGCATGAAGTTGCACATATGTCTGCCAAGTCGCTCTAACATGCGGCTTTGAATTTGTGCAACTTCAACTGAATTTGCACGATTTCAAAGTCAGATCCAGTGTGTACCAGGGCTTAATTCCAATCGGCTGCAGCACTGATCAGTGTGTCCCGAGATTTGATCCATCTATAGGCAGGCTGGATGTACTGAAGTCCATCCATCAATCAACTTCAGTACACCCAGCCTGTTGGATTTTTTTTCATGCGATCACTGCTGATGTCTATAGCCACCAGCAGTAACCATAGTGTTGTGGGGACAGGGAGGGCTCCCTGCTCCCCCCCCCTTTTCCTGGCAGAACACAGTAGTGCTGTGGGAGGCATTCCCCCATTACCACTGACTGTGTTGATGGGGGAATCAAGCAATTGCATAATCTGTGGGCTGCTTAAGATGATCCACTGTGCAGATGTGGTTGAAAACATTGCCTGAGGCCGCAGCTTTCCAATTCTTGTAAGTATACAGTTGGGACGGAGAGGTAGGGGGTCATTTTGATCAGGGGGGCTAAGGAGGATGGATCACTGTAGTTTATCTGAAACCTTTAAATTAGCCCCGTTAAAGTATAACTGAAGGCATAGGGCTTTTTTTTATATATATAGATTAGGATAAGTGGGGAAGGATTAGAACCCCTGCCAGGTTTTTTTTTTTGCTGTCTGTGTCCCCATTACATAGACTCATCCTCTCTGTTTGTCCTGGTGACCATTATCACTGAAAGAAAATCACACATTTAGAATAGGAATAAGGGGGAAATATTCTAATAGTGACACTAATAATAGTTCTGTTGATGCCCAGGGAATTCCTCATATCCTACGCTCCCTCACTCACATCTTCAATCTCTCCCTCTCTACTGGCTCCTTCCCCACCCCTCTAAAGCATGCACACATCACTACCATACTTAAAAAGCCCTCCCTGGACCCCACCGACCTGGAAAACTTAAGACCTATCTCCCTGCTCCCGTTTACCTCTAAACTCTTAGAACACTTAGTCTACAATCGCCTGAGCTCCCACCTCACTGACAACAACCTTCTTGACCCTTTACAGTCTGGCTTTCGCTCACTACGCTCCACTGAAACTGCCCTACTAAAACTCACTAATGATTTACTAACTGCTAAAACCATTGGCCACTACTCCGTACTCTTACTACTTGACCTCTCTGTGGCTTTTGATACTGTTGACCATCCCCTCCTCCTCAAAAAACTCCACTCTCTTTTCCTTCGAGACTCTGCTCTCTCCTGGCTCTCCTCCTACTTATCGCAGTGCTCCTTCAGCGTTACATATAACTCTATCTCCTCCTCTCCACTCCCTCTTTCTGTAGGGGTCCCTCAAGGTTCTGTCCTTGGACCCCTTCTCTTCTCCATCTACACCTCCTCCCTTGGTCACTTGATAAACTCCCATGGCTTTAAGTACCATCTCTATGCTAATGACACACAAATCTATCTTTTTCCTCACCTCATCACTTCAGTCTCCTCTCGCATTACTAACCTACTAAGCAACATATCAGCATGGATGTCACTCCACTTCCTCAAACTAAATCTTTCCAAAACTGAGCTCTTAGTATTCCCTCCAGCCCGTGCCCCCTCCCGTCTTCTCCATCAAGATCAATAATACAACCATCAGTCCCTCCCCTCATGCCAGGGTACTAGGTGTAATCCTGGTCTCCCATCTGTCCTTTCAGCCCCAAATCCAATCACTGTCCAAATCTTGTAGACTTCACCTCCACAACTTCTCCAAGATACGACCGTTCCTAACCTCGGAAACCACTAAGCAACTTATTCACTCCCTTGTTATCTCTCGCCTTGACTATTGTAACTCCTCATTGGCCTACCTCATCGCAGGCTATCCCCTCTTCAGTCTATCATGAATGCTGCTGCCAGACTCATCAACCTTCCATATCTGCCATCCCTCTCTGTCAATCCCTCCACTGGCTTCCCAATGTCCAAAGAATACAATTCAAAACATTAACAATAACATATAAAGCCATTTATAACTCTGCCCCAAATTACATTACCAATCTTGTCTCCAAATATCACCCAAACCGTCCTCTCTGCTCCTCCCACGACCTCCTGCTTTCTAGCTCCCTTATCTCCTCCTCCCATGCTCATCTCCAGGACTTCTCCAGAGCCTCACCCATCCACTGGAACTCTCTACCCCAATCTATCTGACTATCGCCTACTCTGCCCACTTTTAGGTGATCCCTGAAAACCTATCTCTTCAGGGAAGCCTATCCTGCCTTCAGCTAATGAACAAATCTTCTATTTCTCCAATCAGTATCTCCCCACAGTTATTACCTTTTGTACCACCAGCCCCTCCCTCTTAGATTGTAAGCTCCAGGACCAGGGCCCTCCTAACCCTCTTGTATTGTTGCTGTATTGTCTCCCTTTATATTCTAAAGCACTGAGCTATGTATGCTATCCTTCCTTTTTTTGGCTTTTTTTGGCTATGAGACAGAAAGTGAAGGGAAATCTACCCAATCGGACACAAATGGCACGAAAAAATCTGACAGGGGTTTTAACCCCCTTTCATTTTTTCCTAAATGGTGGAAAAAAGATTTGCCTTTAGTACTACTTTAAGACCAGATGGATTTTATAGCTTATTTACATGAATCTGTTTGTTCTTTTTGTTGGTTTTCAGTTGCTTGTTCTATTGCTAACTTTGTCCGCTCAAAAATATATTGTAAAAATCAAACAAATGTACTATTTACTTTGTATAATACATTTGCTGCATCTACAAATATAACAAACGTTATTTTTTAGGCAGTTCCCTTAACACCTATTGATATGAACCGAGTAATGAAATTGTTTGAAGATCCATTCTCTGTAAGTATCTTTCTTCTTGCACCTTTTACCTACTAAAATCTACATATCTGAAACTGACTGTTATAAACATAATTAGGTGGATGACTGGTGTGTAAATTGTGTCTGCAAGTATGAATTATTACTTTTCTGTTTGGTAGGAAAATACAGTAGTATTATCGGACATTGAACCATGCATCTGTTAAGCTAAGTTTAAATGTGTGGTTGGGGGAAGGGGGGGATTGGTAAAAAAAAAAGTGCTGTTGAGCCACATTTTTACTGCCTTCACCTCCCTATCTTCAGTTGCAATAGCAGTGGACGGAAGTATTTACATGCCACAGTTGTGATGCTTTGCTTCGCAACCGCAGCAATAGCTATCCAATGTTGTGATTGATATGCTGCAAGCAGCATGCATTTGTCAAAAATGGGATTAAAACGGGTGGTAAGGAGGCGCCACATCGCGTCCTCACCGCATGTCAGTTACCTCTGAAAAATGATCTGAGCGTGGAGGAGCAGCAGGTTTAGACACACATCTAAATCTAGCCTTACGATGTAAAATACTGTATATTTATATAGCTCAACAGTAGATGTTTCCTGGACAGTAAGGCACCATTCAAATTTCGCGATTTGGAATCGCAGACAGAATCGCCGCGTTTCTGCGCATGATTCCAAGTCGCATGACAATCGTTGCAAAATGCGAGCTGCGCGTTTGGGTGCCATTATCCTTCAATGGCACCCCAAAAGCACTGCTATTCTGCCTCGATTACATAGCTACATAGTTAATTTGGTTGAAAAAAGACACAAGTTTATCCAGTTCAACACACAGAGGAAAAAAAACAGAATCAAAAACAGAAAACTGTGCCTGAAAATCGCGTGAAGCTTGTCGCTCGAAAAGGAGCAGGAGCTTCTTCTTGGGTGACAAACGCGTATAGAGCAGACCATTCAAGTGAATGGGCTGGCCCTATGCCTCATGCTTGGGAATGTTCGTTCTCGGTACGCGGTATGTGAACGGGGCCTAATACCTCCTGACAATGTATTTATGTTTATTGTTTGTTTTGGATATAGTAGGGAAGGGTTACATTTTCTTTCAGATCTTTATGTTTGTCTGTAACCCCTTTGGATAGACTTTTTTGTAAAGTCTTTAACTGACATGTATTTCATATCACACATTTCATGGGAACAAGGTCACTGGGCACAGAGCAGGAACTTTAAGAATGACATACCTGCAGTTTTGGTAATGTAGTACAACACAGATCAGAGCAGGATGTGGTTTTGCCATAATCGTTCTATCAGTAGTGGAATAGGGCAATCGCTGAAGGAGAGGCTTTTGTAGCAGATCACACCAACCCAATGCGGCAGCACCAGTTTAGCACCAGCAACTAATTGCTGGCAACTTTAGTGACTAAGGTCCCTTTCACATGGGGAGGACCCAACAGCAGATCCAATTGCTCAGAAGGGGGTCTGTCTGCTGATCCCCGCTGAGCAAGCAGATTATTATTATACAGGATTTATATAGCGCCAACAGTTTGCTCAGCGCTTTACAATATAACGGGAGCAGGGGCGGACTGACCATTTGGAAACTCGGGCACTGCCCGAGGGCCCGGGGTCAGTAGGGGGCCCCATGAGATGCATACAAAAAACGAAGGGTTTGTGAAAAGGAATTCACAGAAAGCGGCTACATTATGAACAGAATGTGATACTCAGAAAAATTTCCAAAAATTATGCTTTATTACATATAAATATTTGACATATGGGCAATCGCCCTGGTTTACCATCACCTCAGTATGAGACAATACACACAGACAATACACACAGACAGATGCATCTGTTTCTCCATCCAGGCAACAACTGGGGCGTTATTTATATCTAAAAGTCCTAAGAATCAGTCACTTATATTACAGATGAATGGGCCCCAGCCACATGTGCCGGCATGGGACTGTACTGCATTTCATTTGTGATATCCTTTTTGCTGCCTAACATAGGCTTATGGTTATGCCTCTCTTTTGACGCACACTGTGCTCGCTGCATTGTATACATGTGATATTTCATACCTTTGGTATAATTTTTGGGAATTCCCCTCTATGGGATAGAACCTATATGGTTTTGACACATGTCTTTATATTTATTACATGTGACACTATATACCTATGGTATAATTTCTGTGTACACCTCCTTTGGGAAGTGTTAACCTATGTGCCAGTGCTACAAAGACTTTAGACTTCAGTGGTCATTGTCTTTGCAGCACATCTATCCAGACCGGTCTTGGTGTTATTTTATATGGTTTTAGGTCTGTGTGTATTGTCTCATACTGAGGTGATGGTAAACCAGGGCGATTGCCCATATGTCAAATATTTATATGTAATAAACCATAATTTCTGGAAATTTTTCTGAGTATCACATTCTGTTCATAATGTAGCCGCTTTCTGTGAATTCCTTTTCACAAACCCTTCTTTTTTGTATGCCTCTTTGGGCTACTGAATGGAAGCCATATATTGGGTGATACAGTAATTTATTTTGTAACCTCCAAAAAAAACTATCTTTGGCCCCATGAGATGCCCCTGGTACCTTTTTCATAGGCTTTTTTGAGTTTGGCCAAGGACACAGGTGCCCCATGATCCCCTATTGCCCGGGGCCCCATGAGTTGTCAGTCCGCCCCTGAACGGGAGACAATACAGCAACAATACAGTTTAATACAAGAGGGATAGGAGGGCCCTGCTCCGTGGAGCTTACAATCTAAGAGGACAGGTCTGTGTCCGATCTGCTTTTGAGAGTGGACACAGCCCGCTGTCCTCTATGGGTGGTTGGATGGAAATGGGCTGCCTGTCCATTTCCATTCAATGAACAGAAGAGGAACGAATCCCCAGATTGGATGTTGGTAGTTTAAACAACAAACACATCTGTTTACACTCACCTCTCCAAAGAGGAGAATAGAGGTTCTGATAGGGTCCGTCTGAAAAATGTGAGGCCTTAAACGGCAGCTTAGAAATCACTATTATGTTATTCGCTGGTATTAGCAATATGTAGCAGCAATTTATATCTGATACAAGACCTCCCCTGTGACATTAGACCAATGCTTTGTTTGATCTTTTTACATATGTGTTTTGTTTCTTCTTTTTTTTTTTTGTTACAGAGAGATTTAGTAGAGAGGCATGTCAGAGTTTTAAGGAAAGTCGCCAGAACATATTGTAATGGTTTTGTATCCTTTTGCATCTTTGTTTATTGTTGTTTCTACTAATACTCTAATCATCAGTATTCTATGCACAGCTGCACCAGATTTTGCACTATCCAGCTTTAGCAATTCAACCCATTGTGTTTCTGCTGTTGTTTTGAGTAAAGGGTTGAATCTGTTTGCTTGCTCCTCAGGCTGTTCTTATTATAGAAAGTTTGATAAATGAGGACCATTGGTTACGATAGTGAGATGAAATATATGAAAATCTAGCTCTTATTCTGGCCATACACATTGCAATCTGATTGGACAACCTCTATACTATTTCTTTGAGAATTACCAACATGTAGTATGTGGGTCAACTTATACGCTGTATTCAGTGTACATTCAGTCAGGCCGGCCCTGGAGAAACTTCCCCAGACTTCCTTTCCCAGGGACATCACTGGCAGTGAGAGCTGGTGTAGTTCACTTAAAGTGATACTAAAAGGTAACAACATTTTTTTTTACCTTAAAGGAGAAGTATGGGAATATTTTTTTCCCCCAAATTATACCTAGCTAGGTGGACGCAGCATCAGCATGTGTCCCCCGCTGGCTCTAAGTGTGAGATCTCCGTGATCACAGACCTGACTTCTCACAGCCGCTCTGAGCAGAGAGCGGTGACTGTCAGTCACCAATGTCTGCTCTGCCCCCCCTGCACTCACTGGAGCGCTGGGCTGTGAAGGGGGAGAGAGCGGCTGGCTCAGGATCTGAGTGGCTTGCTGTGAGGCTGAGCCAGGTGCCGCTTCATACTCCCCAGCCGGTCCAGGCTGGGGAAAGATCCCGACTTTACAGTCGGGATCTTTCCCCAGCCTGGACCGGCTGAGTAAATCAGCGGACTTCAGCCCACTATCAGCTGAGAACGGGTCACAGGAGTGCAGAACAAACTGCACTCCTGTGATCTACAGGAGAAGTACAGCCAAAAGAGCTTTGACTATACTTCTCCTTTAATGCATCCTTGCATTAAGGTAAAAAACATTTTCTATTTCTCGCCCCCCCCCCCCTCCCTGTGTGAAGGGGAAGAAAGGGGAGAATAGATCCTTCATTGTGCACAGCTGCATCTCTTCTCCCCTCTCTTCCTCTTCACACAGGTCTCAAGCGGCAGCAGGAGTCCTTGGCTCGTGCTGCTGTCAATCACATGAAGTTAGGAGATGGTGGGGGCGGGGCTAAATCCCGCTGTATAAGCCAATGCAGCGTGGCTCAATAGACACACAGCTCGGGAGTGCGCAGACAACGACATGCTATGGGGACACACTAAGAAGAGGAGGAGCCAAGATCTCTGCCAGGGGTCCCGAGAAGAGAAGGATCGGGCCGCTCTGTGTGATACCACTGGACAGAGCAGGTAAGTATAACATGTTTATTATATTAATATAAGCACTGTGACTGCTTTCCTTATACTGGGTTTGAGTTGAGTCGCTGACCTGGAACAAGCATGCATCCAGCTCCACCTAAATGTAATATTTCAGCCCTGTGACCAATAATGACTTATTGGGAAAACAAATTCCTTCCAGACCCCACAGAGCATTTGGATTAGTTCTCTAGACCAATGTCTTTCTATCCTATTCTTAGTATGTGGTATTGCCCTATGTTGTTTATGTGTTTTCCTTGATGTAAACATTTAATAAAGTTCTTGAAAGATCTTCCACAGATAGTGAAAATTTTAAACATCTGTGCAGCAAGGGCAGGAGACCATACAGAATACATAGATCCCATGTGTGACATTGTGAAGCTGTGCGGGTAAGTAGATGTCTTTAGGTGAACCCATAAAAAGAATTAAAGTTGTTATAAACTCAGCTGGTCTGGATGCTGTTCTAAAGCGCTTTTGCCTATGAAATATGAGAGGCAATATGAACTGATGAGTTACACTGGACTGGGGTGATTGGTGGTAGTCACTGAACACACCATCGGTGGTACAGTATATGTTTAAAGTGGAAAGAAGACACAGGAGTGGATTTCGTGTTTATAAAAATGACTTCAAAGTTTCTTGGTACTGAATGCACTGGGCTCTTATGCTTTGATTAAAAACATTTTTTTCACTTTGAGCACAGTGGACTTATATATATATATATTTTTTTACATTTTTTTTGTTTGTTTATATGTTTTTCATAGCACTACTAATGATTTGGGCACTATATTGTTTGATTACTTTATGATAGTTGTTTTGAGAGGGTTTTAAGTAGCAGCAGTGATTTTGTGGGAGATTTCACATTTTATTTTACTTTGAATTTTTTTTTTACTATCTGAAGTGCAGAGAGAGGGGGTTTTATATATATATATATATATATATTTGTAAAGTTGTCTGTAATGAGACATAGAAACTTTTTGGCTATGTCGGTGTATTACAGTGTAAGGCTCCATGAACACGCGACGTTTGGAAAACACTTCTGAATGATGGAAACTGACTGCTGGAATACATGGGTTAAAAAAGTCTGTTTAGCTGCGTTTGCATACCACATTTATGCGCGTTTATGAGCGTTTGCATTTAGAAGCGTTTTTTTAAAGATAACCTCAGGAGACCTTCCAAAATGCCCAGAATGCACTGCAAACAGTAAAAAATTAACTATCTCAGACATTTTGAGAGAAATAGAGAGAGCAGAAGCAGAGAGAGCAGCTGGTTGTATTCACTATGGATCCCATCATGAGTATAATGCGGCACGTTCTACCAGTTTTTCCTTCACGCAAAACCTGGAACTGACTGCACTGGTGTACTGGGTCCATTTGAATACATGGAAAACACTTTGCAAGTGTTTCTGATGATGAAAAAAGGCTCTGGACAGCATTTGGATATGGAACAGTTAAAAAAAACGCTTCTAAACGCAAACACTTATAAACGCGGTTAGCCGTGTTTACAAGCGTTTGGTATTTGAAACGCTGATAAAATCTCCTGAACGCAAGCTTGGCGCATTCAAAAAAACAACTGTAAACTCAACTGCCTGTAAACGACTGTAAACTACATAGTGTACATGGACACATAGGAAAACATTAGAGAGAGTTCAGGGGCTGCTAAAAAAAAAAAACCGCAGAAAAGCTCCTGAATGTCAGTTTATCAGCTGCAGTGTACATGAGCCCCAAGGAAAAGGCATGAACTGTTGAATTTGTGTAAATTACACAATATTGCATCCAACCAGCAGGAGGCAGCATGTAGAGCTTTCATTTTTAGTATTTTATTTGAGCAGGAACACACCACCGGCTACCTGTTTACAGTAACGCAAGTACAGTAAGCTTCAAAATAGTGAATATGTGACTCCAGCTCAATATGTTCCCAATAATGTGATGCCAATCCACTCCTAATAATGCTGCTGCTTATAAGCTGCATGAATATAACATCCCTCTCAAATATAACTTAATGCAACAATAGCAGCGCATGTGTCTAATATAAAACTACAGTGTTAAAGGATCAATATAAATATGTGAATCAATCAATAAGTAAACAATCAAAAAACGAAAACTAAAAAATGAAGCAAACATAGCACAGACTCCACCATAAATAGTATTAAAAGTCCATAGTCCCCTTCTCACACTGAGTGACAGAAAAAAATCTTCAATGTGCATGTAATAATCAGTCAACTCCGTTTTCAAACACCACGTGTCCAGATAGGTCACCCCTTATTCACTGCCACTCACCGAATAGTATGACTTAATCTGATAAGTGAAAGCTCTTGTAAATTACTCCTCCTTCTTATCAGCTTTACCAACCAACCACAGTGCGTCAATACAGCTAAAGGGATGGTTATTCAAAAATACTCCTTTCCAGAAAATGAAATAAAAGAGGAACCAATAGTGTATTACTGTAAAAAACATCAATTTATTAATCATCCTGTAGGGTACTCACAAACAAGCATGAATCAATAGCCAAAAATATGTATACTCCCGCATTGGGTAGGCTTAGTGTGTAACAGGCATCTCACGTAGCATCTCACCCAACCAACTTTGCTACTGCAGGCGGAATGTCCCGGCTGTCTCCTATGTCGTGTGGACCGCCACTGACGCGTTTCGTCATGTGACTTTATCAAAGGGTTATCCACACAGCGCAACACTTCCGCTTATATAACGTATTGCTTATTCTCATGAATTCCCGCACGACCGGATGCTGCCGATCATATAAGACCAAAGAGGTTCCATCTTGTAGTTAAAAATATATTAACAACCCATAAATCAATGATGATAATTGATCAGTACATTTACACAAAATAATGCAATACCCCATTAATAAAATAATTCAATAAACAATAAATAACATAAAATATACCAATTAATATGATGAAAGAATAATGACATAATACATAATGCCACGACAATCTGTAGCCCAGTAAAACTTAGCATTATATCACCTGACTAAATTACAAAAATTAATCAATGAAGTTATGATCTACCAATAATACAGTGAAACCTAATTTATCAAATACAATTAATTAGCAATAAAATTATCAATAAAAGCTTAATTATATAAAATTCAGAAATATATACGAAAAAAATCCTTAAATGAAAAAAATATTAGTGCAAAATATAAGAAAAGTATACCACATTAATCAAAATACCCTTTATACAATAGTAATCAAAATACCCTTTATACAATAGTAATCAAAATACCCTTTATACAATAGTAATCAAAATACCCTTTATACAATAGTATGGAACTTTCTGTATCTAATAAATACCGATTATAATTATCCATCCACATTATACATCACTAATAAAACAATTAATGTTCACCCCCCACATTCAGGCCTGATGGGGTTAGGGTCTGAAGTTTGTCTATCCACGTTGTTTCACGTTTAGAAAGTTTCCTCACCATATTTATTCCCTCCATGATGGATAAATCCTATCCAGTCCCCAAAGTTTTAGCCCATCAGGATTCTTTCCATGTACTTCCCTAAAGTGCAATGACACATTATGATTACTATGCTGAATTTTTACATGTTCTACCAATCGTTTCTTTAAAGGGCACTTGGTCCGGCCCACATACTGCAGGCCACAAGGGCACTGCAGTGCATATACTATTACTAGGTGAGTAGTGTCACAAGTAATTATTATTATTATTATACAGTATTTATATAGCGCCAAAGGGTATGCTCAGCACTGTACAGTAGCAAGGGGGACAGAACATGAGACAAGACAGTAACAATACACTACTGGAGGGGTTCGAGGGCCCTGCTCTTTCGAGCTTACAATCTAGGAAGGAGGGGGGGGAAGTAATGAATTCTGATATATTATACGATTTATTAGTTATTCACAATGTAAAATGAGTGCTATTTTTCACATTATTTCTAGCTATCCTACATGCCCTGCATTTACGGCATGCAGAAAGTAGGTTTAGGAGGTATCACAAATCCTAATACCCTATCCACTAACAATACATGCCAGTGTTTCCTTTAACACTGTAGTTTTTATATTAGACACGCGTTAAGTTTTGCGGGTGTCCCCCACCCCAGAAAACCTAGCAAAATCTGTGAAATGGCTGTTAATGTGGGCCAGCATTCTTGGTCTGACATCTAAATAGTTGATATAGCACTATTAACTGTTGTACTGTACAATGCTGAAATTAGCTTTTTTAAAGGATAACTCCACATTTGTTGGTGAAAAAAATGGCAAATAATAAATATAGCATATACAATTACGACACAAGTCCTATTGTAATTGAATGTTATTAAAACATTACCTTTCCTTTTCAATCTGCAGTGCTGTAATTTAATTGTAAAATGCAATGGAACATGGCAACTTGGAGGGGTTCTGTACACAGATTGTGCACAGAACTCCCTCCAGCAATATAATTTCTTGCTTGTGTGATTGGCTCACTGATTTTCCCACAAGTCAGCACTAAGATACAAGTCAGATTTTGGGCATCCCCTGCAACAACAATGTCATTTTGATGAGATACTCCCAAAAGTAATATGCATCTAAAGGGATGCAGACCCTGACACTCATTACAGCACTGCAGGTGCAGCAGCTGATTGATAATTGTAAAGCTACTCCCATACAGATTTTCTCTGCACATGGACACAGACAAACAGCTGTTTCTTCAGAATAAGGCCCCTTTCACACGGCTGTTTCATCTGTCTGTTTCATCTGTTGACCGAAGAAAAACACACAGCAATGCATTCCTATGGGCAAGCGGATGTCAACGGAAGTTGTCTATTTACATCAGTTTTTTGCCCTCTTCTGTTCAGGTCTGTTTTTTTAAAAGGAACAAGTCTGCAACAGATGTAAATAGATGAAAAATGGATATAAAGAGAAGATGGCTGTAGGGTCAGAATCTGCAACAAAAGTTTTTTTTCTCAACAAAAGTGAAGTTACTCTTTAAAACTTGGCCGTACATGGAGTGAATTTCAGCCAGTTTCAGAAGAACCATCCGAGATTCGTTCAGTGGTTGGCCCATCAACCACCTCCTACCTAGCGTCCCTCAGTTAAAAACTGAAAGAGCCAGGTGGAAAATTGTCAGCCAAACAGCATCTCTATCAAGTCAGATGCAGCCACTGTTTACGTATTTTGACATCTGGCAGCGCCGGCTGTCAAAATACAATAGCTGCAGAAAGGAGTTGTGATCATCCATGCTGTAAAGCCCTGCAGGAGGGCTGTGGAACTGCAAAATTGGAGGTAAGATTGCTTTAGGTGATGTTGATGAATCGGTGGTCTGTTTACAATTTGGTCTCATTGTTTGTTGTATCTTCAGCCTTCCATTTCTAAAAGAGAGGATGTCCGATGAAGCCAGGTATGCACAGG